AAGTGTTAGCCCTAGATTATTAGATCATACTGTACCAATTACAAAACATGAGTGAGGTTCGAGTCAAGCTTCAAGTGCTGCGAGAGATGTTACGATGAACGGCTTTCTATCTCAGTTATTCCTGGAGGGCCTCGTGAGCAAAGAACGCCGGTATGGCCGAAGTGTGCGATACAGACTGCCATTTGGCCAGAGGGACCAGAGGGGCAAAAAGTAATCCCCCGAACCTGGATCGAACAGGTGACACCCAGATAGCGAGAGGTTTTCCAATTACAGTCTGATGCTCTACCAACTGAGCTATCGGGGGTTGTGGACTCTCAAAATCTATTACATCTATATTGCCAGGCACATTGTCGTATTTAACGCGCGGCGATGTCGCCGGCATATTGCCCTGAAAAATGAGTGCAATCAGTCATGATTGATCACTAGGTTGGACCTCACTTGAGTCGATTTGGCGATTGATTAAGACTCAAAACGCCACCCTGTACCGGTCGGCCAACACCAACTTACCGGCTCTAGCTTCGCGGCTGTGCGTGCATCTACAGTACAGGTCGCTGCGAAGAGTACAAATGCGTGCCCTGACCGGGAACTCGACGTATAGTGCAACCTCATTGCAGTGATTGCACCGGTGTGTAACCTCAAGTGCGCCGGTGTGTAAGACTTGGAAACCCGGATATCAAGCCCTCTATACACTTACCGGAGGCTCAGGGATCATTTGTTAGTTGGGCAGTGCTCACAGGTCCCGGCTCAATGCGGCCCACTCCACCATATAGATACAACGTCTCCTTCACTTTACTCAGTACTCTACTCACTTCTCATCATCTCATTTTTTCTTCTTTCTTCTTCTCGTTCAATTTCGCCGACCTCTAATACTTTTTTCGCCATGGGCAGCATCATCGTTCTCGCCTTTGTGCTCGTCTTCTCGTCGTCCATGCCTCCCCTGTGCTGGACGCACGCGGCGGTAAGATGTCGAAGACCCCCAAGCCAGTGCACGCTGCAAAGCCCGCGGCGCACCCGAAGCCGCCTGCGAGCCACCCAAAGCTAGTCACCAAGAAGCCGTCGAAGGGCCATTTCGTTCACGGGTCGACCAGCACTACTCTCAAGACCAAACGCCCCGTGTCGCCGAAGCCGGCAAACCCTGCGCCTTCCCGTCCCTTGGACATCTCGATCGTGATGGAAAAATACTTCGGGGTCAGTGTTTCCGTGTATGTTGATCTCTTCTCAATCATTCGCACAGGTCGAGCAACAGAAAGCATCCGAGAAGCAGAGGCAGCAGAGCAACAGGGAGAACAGCGTCGCATGGGGTTAAGGCCACAGTAAGTACACAATCCCGCACGTACGTCGATATCTTTAACCAAGACTGTCTATCTAGGCCGGCCTGGAGAAAGCGAGAAAGCTAGCCGGCAATCCGCAGAAGGAGCACAATCTCTACAAGTACTTCACACTCATCAGGAGGTTGAGATTGCCACACGTTGGTACCAGACGACAGCCGCGAAGCAGTGCAAGCCCAGCACGAAGTCGCCCCACGCTCGAGACTTCTCCGTGTGAGCTTTCTTCTGACAGTTTCCATCATGGCGTCGAATCTAGCGCCCCATGTACCTAGTCGCGTGGCGAGGTGGCTGTTTCCTGCTTACTATTTTATTTATGTACCAATGGCGTTCAAGCACCAATCCGTCTGGATTCCCCTAACCTCGGGTCCCTTCCACGGACTCGTAGTTCAGGGAGCGAGAGGACCGTCGTCGGACGAGCGGCGAGAACTGTCATCAGGGCCCCAATGTAAAAGTGACAGCAACGCCATACGAGGCACACAGCGGAGAAGCGGCGATATCCAGCGTAAAGAGGGTCCTGTTTCCAAGGTATTCTCTAAGTCGAGTAAAAGAGGCGGACAACCTCAGTCCTGGAGGGAACGGTAGACAGCCCATGCGCCAGATTCACCAGTAGCCCGCAGTTTCCGCAGCCTGAGGCACGTAAGGGAGGAAGAGACGTCTCCCAAGATGTGGAGCTGATCCAGGCGTCGAGGTTGCGCAAATTAACCAAATAAAAGCTCGACGTGAAGGGCCACTCAGGATCTCCGCCACGTAGAGAAAATAGCCATATATGAGAGTGATGCCCTTCGACGACATTTCTGGCGATTCGAGACGGATGGAGGGCGAGATGGTCAGAGCCAAGATGCGGCGCGTCATCGGGGAAAGCCGATCCACAACTTGAACCCGATCCACCATGTCGTCGAGCTCGTCCGCGCCCGCTGCACCCAAAGACGCGCCCACTGAGGCTCCAAAGGACGAGGCTAAGGCGCAGCCGACGTATACGACTGCTCTTGAGGAAGACGACGAGTTCGAGGAATTCCCAGTCCAGGGTACGCGCGTTCTCGACCGCTGGGTTATCTAACGCGCCAACTTACCTCTAATTTCAGATTGGGACGCGTCTGAAACGGAACTGAACCGTTTGGGGAAGGGCGAGCAGGCTGCAGGCGCGAGCGGCCAGAAAATCGCCGACAGCCTGTGGGAGGATAACTGGGATGACGACGATATCGAGGAAGACTTCAGCGCGCAGTTACGGTACGCCCTTCATTGCTTTCCCGCCTTTCAGTATAGTCACTTAGCCGGATTGCTTACAGGAACGAGCTCGCGAAGGCGAAGCCAACCTCGGGCGTCGAGCCGATGCAACACTAGACTCTTGTACTTTGACGTTTGACCTCGCTATCAAATCCTTTCGCTTGCTCTTCATTTCCACGCGCTCTAGCAAGTCAGCGTCCACGCAGCCACGGGCAGCCCTCGACATCTTGCATATCGCGAGCCTTATCCACCTGCACCGCGCAAACTCCGGGTTATATCGACTAGCTCCGTCGTCGCGCGGCACGCACTGACTGTCTTAAAAGCCTCCTGCGCAGGGCAGCTGTGCCGTGGGTCACATCATGTCCTCACATTGTTCACGGGGTGACGCATGTCCTCTGGGCGGCGACTCCTGCAAACCTCGTCCAGCGCGTGCTATGCCACGTGCTCAGCGCTCAACAACTACTCAACAACTAATTTCACGCCTAGGCGCTTCACATAAAGCTGTCTGGGCCATATGAACACCACCGATCTGTACAGCGGCGCGTGTGAGACGATGCGCAGAGCGAGTACACGCGACATGCTCACCAGCACTCAGGACAGCCTCATTGGGCTGCTTTATAGGCGCAATACCGTCGACATATCCTAGCCATTCCTGGCCTTCGTGCGCTGCTTTGCGGGCGGCCTAAAAACTGCCTGCTGGGGACTGCCATGGTGCGGAATGGCACTCCCGCTTCCTCATTATTAGGCCACTTCCTGCACCGATTCCTCCCGTTGCCTGAAGACGACTCCACCGCTCGCGGTTCGCTCTCCAAACTCTTGGTGTACAAGTATCACACTTCGCCGAAGGAGAACCAGACGAGAACATCATCTACACTGCTCGCGTCATTGCACACTGCGGCTACCTCGAGAGGGAAGGCATACATATTGCCCACTTACCGGAGCATTTCCACTTCGAGTTGGCCTGTGGTCAGTTGCCCTCACTTCCCTTCTTTCCTTGTCGCGCCGTCGGCGTGCCACCGCAGATTGTACGGTCTACAGTACTGAATCCGGTGTTTCGCTTTCCTCGAAAGTACTGATCTCACTCAGAATAGACTCCGCGTGCCGAACCTGACGAAAGGAACAGAACCGAGTCAGCCCGGATTGCAGTAATCATTTCCAAGGTGAGTTGCGTGTCGAGAGGTCTCCTGCTCTCGCATTCCCATATGCCACCTTGTAACTTCTCGTTTACTACTTCCTTACTATCAGTTCAAATCTCTAACATTGCCGTTTCATCATCGTGTTTCAGGTTTACCTGCTCTTCGGCCGCAGTCCAGTCCCGAGATCGTTTGAACGACGTACGCACAATCTCCTCGGCTGGTCGTGTGACGGTGAACAATGTAAGTCTCATTCGCTGGTGCCTGGAGCTGCTAATCCCTCCGACGAGGATTCAGTTCGTGTTGACAGCACGGAACTTGTTCACAGCGGTATATTAATCAGTACGTGGGGGACGAGGGAAAGCCTCAAGCGCAACAGTCTTGCGCTTTCGTAGCGCCTCCACATGCTACTCCTCGATCTCTTCGCCGTCACTACATCTTTCCTCGGTCTCTTCTTCATCAAGACTGTCGCGGCTCAGATCATTTGTCCGATAGATGGGACAGTCGTCAACAACTTCGCGTGCTGCCCTTTCGTCGCAGTCAAGTCCGATCTCCTCGCCAACGTCTTCGATGGCACGTGCGGAGCGAACGCTGCTGCAGTCATCCGCCTTGCTTTCTCGGACGCCATCGGCTTTTCCATCAATACAGACAAGGGCGGCGGCGCGGACGGCAGTATCATCACATTCCCCGTCGAATTGACGTTCCCGCAAAACGTCGGCCTTGACTGTATCGTCAAAATTATCGACAATGTCGCCGGCGAGCGCGGGGTCTCGAGGGGAGACGCGTACGAGTGGACCTCGCTTCCCGCTCGTGCATGATGCTAACGCACACTACTCAGAATTCATTTCGCTGCCTCTATCGCGTTGTCTCTATGCCCGGGTGCCCCCGTTGTCCAGACGTTTGTCGGCCGCCCAGTCAGTATTCATGCTGTCCCCGAGTCGCTCTGACGTCGGGCATTCGCAGGAAGCAAACCGGCCGGCTGCTCCCAACACGATCCCCAACCCGTTCGACCCTGCGAACACCATTTTCGCTCGCATGCAAGACGCAGGCTTCAGCCCCACCGAACTCGTCGCCCTCCTCGCAGCCCACTCGATCGGATCGCAGCACGACGTCGACCCGACCATCCCCGGTGCACCGTTCGACACGACGCCGGGTTCATTCGACAGTCAGTTCTTCCTGGAGACTCTCCTCCGGGGGACACTGTTTCCTGGGGACGGACCTCATCAAGGAGAAGCTACAAGCCCGTTGCCCGGGGAGTTTCGTCTCCAGTCCGACTTCACCTGCGCGCGCGACCCTCGGACGGCATGCACTTGGCAGTCGTTCGTTAGCAACCAGACTCTCATGGCTGCGCGATTTGCTACGGCTATGGCCAAGTTGACCCTACTCGGCCAGGACGTCCTCACCCTCACCGATTGCACCGAGCTGATTGTAAGTAACCGTGACCGGTTTTGCACGACGTGTCCATGTTGACGCGGTCCCTTCAGCCTCGCTCGCCTCCAGCAGCTTCACAAGCAGTGTTCCCGGCAACAAAGTCTCGCTCCGACATCGAACAGGCTGTATGTGACATTTGTTGCAGCATGTGACCGTGCACTAATTCACATCTCCCCTCTCTCGTATAC